CCTGTGACGGTATTCTGGAAGTGATTAGCATCTGAATTGGTAGACTGAGTAAAAAGGATCACCCTCACCAGTGCAGGTGGGCATCATCCAATCTGTGGAAGGCCAGACTAGAACAAAAAGGAAAGGAAGGATGACTTTGCTCTCTCTGCTTCAGCTGGGACATCTATCCTCTCCTACTCTTGGACATTGTGCTCCTGGTTTTCAGGCCTTTGGACTTGAACTGGGAGATTACCCTTTCAGTCCCCTGGTTCTCAGGCCTCCAGGCTTGGACTGAATTACACACATACCACCAGCTTTCCTGGGCCTTCAGATTGCAGATAGCAGATCATGGTGTTACCAGTTGAACTCCTTGGTTTTTGTCTCCTCTCAATCAAAAAATGAATGCAAGAGACCATTTTGAAGCGGTAAGCAGCAAAGTTTATTAAGTAAGTCTACCTCCAGACATGGAGGCGGATTGCCAAGAAAGATTAGCAAGTGAAGGTACACTCCAGAAGGGAGGGTAGGAATGGGCACAAGTCCCAGTGGACAGTGGCACTGGGCTCTCTGTCCCATCCTTTTTTCTCTTGTTTGGCTTCTCCTCATTCATGACGTTCTCTCTTCTTCTTCCTTTTTTTTTTCTTGACCAATGGGAGATGTTGTCTCCTTCCTGCTGTCAGGCCAGGGAGTTTTCCACCTTATATAGTTAGGCCTGTATGTGTTGTGTCCAAAGCCCACTGAGGAAGGGGAAACTATAATGTATAATGTGTCCTGTGTTGTTTATGTTTCTTGTGATAGTTGTGATTAGCCTTATCTTGTTATTGTTATAGTGTATTTTCTTACTCGGTATACCATTTGTTTACATTGTTTGCTTTCATAATTTTTCTGCTCATGTCTCATTTCTCTTATGCTAACATTTTGTGACACAGCTACCCTTATGTTGCAGTGTGTTTTCATAGTCAGTATGCCATTTGTTTACACATCCTGTCCTGTACCTTCTCTGTTCATGTCTCACTTTCCTACCTACGCTAACAATGGGACTTCTCAGTGTCCAGAATCATGTGAGCCAATTCCGCATAATAAATCTCCTTCTGTATATCTCTATATATCCTATTGGTTGTGTTTCTCTGGAGAACCCTGACTAATATATTGGGTATTTGGGGAGAACTGACATCTTTTATTTTTCTTTCTTTCTTTTTTTTTTTTTTAAGAGACATTGTCTTGCTCTGTCTGGAGTGCAGTGGTGTGATCATAGCTCACTGTAGCCTTGAACTACTGGGAAATCCTCCTGCCTCAGCCTCCCAAGTAGCTGGGACTACAGGTGTGCATCACCGTACCTGGCTAATTTTTAAAATTTTATAGAGGCAGGGGTCTCACTATGTTGCCCATGCTGGTTTCAAACTCCTAGTCTCAAGCGATCCTCCCACCTCCCAAAGTGCTGGGATTACAGGTGTGAGCCACCATGCCTGGCTGAACTGACATATTATGCTATTGAGTTTTCCAAACTTGAATTGGTATTTCCCTCCATTTGTTTAAGTATTCTTTAATTTTTATAATAAGATTTTGTGGCGTTCTTGTGAAGCAACACTTTATTTGCCACAACCCTGATAGAGTAGGGGCCTTTCAGGGGTCAGAATACTAAGGCAAGAACTTGATGGATGAGAAGCGCAATAAGGAAACTGCAAAAATGTGGGCAGAAGAAATGATGAAAGGGTCCACTAAGTAAAGCAACAACTTCAAGAATTTTAAAGTGGAAGGCAATAGCTGGGTGCATAACATATCATAAATGGTAGGCACAAACAGCTTTCTGCCCTGCCAGCAGCAGAAATGCCAAGAAATCTGGAGAGTAATATGATGAAGCTAACCATGGACTGATGACTCAGCGGCAATTTTTCATGAGGAGGAGACTGTGATTAACATAACCGAGGTATGATGTTTGTCATCTTAAAAGTGAAGAGCAGACTGAGATGAGCCCAGGCCAAGTTTGCCTCTGTGCCCTCCATCCCTGTCTTCCATTTTTTAACCCTCTCCAGCCTGCCAGCACTACCTCTTCAGCATGCTCATATTTCCTCAGACCCTCCCCTTTACTACCCCATCCAAACCTGCCTTATCCTATACTTCTCCACAGCCCCATAAACAGACCCCAAATCCTCCTCTTCTATATCTCCTCCATTTATTCATATTTAACATACTCAGGTGTTCAGAGAATGAAGCGGATAGGGGATCCAGTTAATATACATCCATGTATGCAATAATAGCTAGGTGGGTATTTTTCAAATTAGGTCCAAAGTCATAATCCTAGAGGTTTGAGAGGTCCATGGGAATTTAAATAATAATAGCTAATATTTACTGAGCACTTATGTTTTCGGTGCTGTTTGAAATGTTTACATGTGTTAATTCATTTGGTTTCATTATAACTGTATAAAGCAGAGGCCCTCATCTCCATTTAACAGATGAGCAAACTGAGCAACATGTATTCATTCCCATGAAACAGATGAACCACCATGGAAAGGTTGATTTTTTTTAGTCCAAGTTTATACAGCTAATACATCATAGCGTAAGACTCAAATTCAGGCAGTCTGGGTCTAGAGCTAATGCTTTCAATCACTTTGCAATGCTGTCATCTGGGGCTTGATTGGGGCTGGATGGTCCAAGATGGCCTCATGCATATGAGTTAGTAGGCAGGCAGCTGAGCTGTCGGCTGGGCCTCCTCTTTCATTTGGTCTTTCTAGCAGGATATCTCAGACTTCTTTACATGCCATCTAGATTCCAAGAGGGCAAATGTCATGTAGAATATTATCTTGATGCAATGGTAGCCTCCAAGTATACCACCAGACAGGTTGTTCCAGAGGTCACAAAACAGATAGGCTTATAGACCAAATTAAGAAGCTGGAATCACACTGTTTATGTGGTACTTTTAAAACATCCTGAAATTCTTTGGCATTACTCTCATTGAGAGGCGGGCTTTATACCCCTTCCTTGAATCTGGGTTGGCCTTAGTGGCTTGCTTATTACAGCCAATAAAATATAGTGGAAGTGATGCTGTGTGACTTCCAAGATAGGTTAGAAAAGGCCATGACATGAGTTCTTTTCAGACAATCACTTTGGGGGAAGCCAGTTGCCAGATGAGAAGTTCATCATGCTGGACTGTCTGTGTGAAGGTGCTTTGGTTCGCAGCCCTATCTGAGTTTCCAGCCAGCTAACTGCCAGCATCAACTTTCAACCACGTGAGTGAGCTATCTTGGAAGTCCAGCCCAGCTGAACCTTCAAATGACAGCAGCTGTATTGACATCTGATTGCCACTACCTAAAAGACTCCATGAAAGAACTGCGCAAGTAAGTCCTTCCCAGATTTCTGAGCCACAAAATCAGGAGCAAAATAAACTGGCTATTTAAACCACTGAATTTTAGCATAATGTGTTCACACAAAGAGCAGCAGTAGTCACCCAAACAGTTTACCAATGAATATAAAACAGAGCGAGAAGCAAGGGGAAAGAGATAGGGTAACAAGTTTAGGATAGGCTGAAGGATTGTAGTACCTAAATCCTGTTTTATGCAATGTTCATATGTCTATCCCCCTCCCCTATGCCGGTCTTCTCTGCAGACAGTTTGGTTTGAGGAACAGAGTGGAGGGTAAGCAATGTGGTTCAGCAGATTGTAGGGGCCTGGACCCAACAGACATCTGTTGTGTTGCAAAGATGAGGGGAAAGTGTGTCTGGTTATAACTGCAGCTGGCCATTAGTTGGCTGAGTAGCTGGGGGTTTATCTGCTTTTCTTAGGCAGACATTACATGAGGCCATAATAGGGCTACAATGGGTATCACCAGTAGGTGTCCAATTTAGGGATGACATAGCTACCAATCTAAAGGTAGTATGATCCATACCTTATTAATATTTAAAGTTCACTTTGTGTTTCCACCCCTTCTATCTAAAGCATTTGTTGCCCAGGTTCTGATTCAGGAGGTCTGGGCTGAGGTCCACAACGTCACATGTCTAACAAGCTCAGGGGCACACTTTGAGAAACAGAGTTATAGAAATAGGAGATTTTAGTGATTACATTCCTCCCTTTACTCACAGTTGCATATTATACTTACATATAGCACATTTACTACATACAAAGTTCTGGGCTGGATGCAGCATTGGATATAAGGATTTAGATCTTGATTGCACTTGAGCAGATTTATTCTCTAAGTAGATTTACTCTCTAAGACAGGGTGCCTAAGTGTCATTAGACAGGTTCAGATAAAACGGAGAGCTCCCTTAGAAAGAGATAAGGTAAAGTTTAATGAACTAGGAGACTCTTTGACCTGGGCCTTGAAAGATGCTTAGGACCTGGACACGTGGCAGTCGCGGAGAATGACAGACTTTTTTCCGCTCGGGCTTAGACGGAAAAAAGAAACAAAACAAAACACAAAAGTAACAAAATCACAAGCAACCACCCAGAGAGGTCTGTGACATTCCTGCCTCCTGCTCTAGCGTTAACAATTTTCATGCAAGCTGCTGTCAAATCCTCCTTCTTGGGGAGGGGTAGAACTGGCTTCGCCTTCTCTTGGGAGCATCCAGAGCGGGTGCCTCAGAGCCCGACGTCTGACCGAGGCCGCGGCTGGGCGCTGACCTGGCGAAGGGCGCGGCCCGGGCGATTCATCTGTGAGCAGAGCGCCGGGACCCCGTGAGGCTCGGGCAGCAGAGCTGCTCTTCGCCTGGCCAGTCCGGGAGAGCGGGGCCGCACGCTGGGCACCTTACAGAGCGAGCTCCAGATTTGGTGGGCATGGCGCTGGGGTGGGCCGGGTGGCAGCTGCACTAGCGGCCGAGCGGGGCGGGGGTCTGAAGCTCTTTCTCTCCGCCCCAACCAGCGGATTTAACAGCCTTAGAGACCAGCACAAGAAGCCCCTATCCTTGCACCTTCACGCTCCAGTGGGGGCGGGGACGCGGTGTGCGCGCGCTCCTCCCCCTACGGACTGCGCCTGCGCAGGCCATCTCAAGCCCCGCCCCTTTCTCCTTTCCCCGCCTCCCTACCCCTTCTGTGGCCGCTAGGGGTAGCGGCGGCGGCGGCTGGGGCCTGAGAGCGCGACTTCTTTGAAGGCTCAGGAACCCTACAGAGTGGGGACGTGGGGAGGTAAGAGGGTGAGAAAACCAGCGGGAGAGGAGGGCGGCGCCGGAGGAGGGCGGCGCTTGGCTGACTCATCCCTCTGGAAGATCAGACTGACAGACTCATACACTCGCGGATCCCGCCCGCCCGCACCGCTTCTCCTCAGCCGGGAGGCGCCCGCCCGCACCGCCCGCACCACCCCGCCCGCCCTCTCCAGGAGCTCTCGGAGCCCGGCCGGCTCAGAAAGTTTTTCTCGTCGGAGAGGCCGGAACCGTCGCGGGCCTTTTGGAAGAGAAGGGGAACGGAAGAGGAGGCGACGGCTGCGCGGGCCCGCGGAGTGCATGGTGCTCGGCGCCTCGGCTGCCGGTCAGGAGGACCTCGGGGCGGGGTCGGGCTGAGCCCAGCTCCTTCTCCCCTCAGTCTCGCCAGAAATCGCCCGCCCAGACTGCCGCGGGGGTCCCCGCTCCTCAGCTCGCCATGTCCCGGCTGCTGCCGCTGCTGAGGAGCCGGACCGCGCGCAGCCTGAGGCCGGGCCCGGCCGCCGCGCCCCACCCGCCGTCCTGGTGCTGCTGCGGGCGGGGGCTGCTGGCGCTCGCGGCCCCCGCCGGCCCCCGGGGGCTGGGCACCCACCCCAAGAAGGAGCCCATGGAGGCGCTGAACACGGCGCAGGGCGCGCGCGACTTCATCTACAGCCTGCACTCCACCGAAAGGAGCTGCCTGCTCAAGGAGCTGCACCGCTTCGAGTCCATTGCCATCGCCCAAGGTACGGGGGACGGGTGGGGGCGAGCCCGGGGCCCCGGCGCCCTCCTCTTCCCCGCCAGCGCACCGGGAGCCCTCCCGGGCCCTGGGCCTCGGACCCCCTCTTCCACCCCACCGCCCGCCTCCCTCGCCCCGCCTGGCCCCGCGCCTGGGACGGCTGCGGGCGGGGGTGCTTTCTGCCTCTTGAGTGTCCCCGAGGCAGGTAGGACAGGCGCGGATCGTGCCAGGCAGCCGGGGCCAGCGCCTGGCTAGTTCCTCCCCAGGAACTCGCCTCAGAATCCGGAGCTTCAGCCTAAAATGCCAGCCGACACTTAGGATTTTTCTTTTCATTTGCCTTGTGCTGCCCGTCCCCAGCCTTCCTGTCCCCGAGCCCTTGCTGCTTTCTTGCGAACGTGCACGCATTCAGGTGGCATGCTGTGCCTGCTCCGAGAAAGTGCTACCAACCCGACCGGCAGGAAGAAACTTTCCTTCAGTGGTTATCAAACAAAGGTGTTGGATGGCCAAAAGAAGGGGTGTAGCTTCGGAAGTCAGGGATGCTCTCAGCTGCTTGTTTGCACACACATCTGGTTGTATTAATTTAAGCAGCCGAAGGAAACATTTTCCTGGGAAATGAAAAGAAAATAGCTTTAAGTTAATTAAACTCCTGTTTTTGTTTCCCCAGAGGTTGAAAGAATGGAATAAATAAGAAGGGTTTGTTTTTTTTTTTATTTTTTGAATCTGTGGCTCTACAATCAAGAGCAGACTTCTGCTCAAAAGTAGTTTGGAACGATGAAGCAAAGCTATTTTTAAGCTAACATGTTAAAATAGGATATTTTTAAAACAAGTGCAGAATGTGGTAGGTCAGAATTTGAGTCTAGGTGAAAAGACTAAAAGTTCAGAAAATCAAAAGCATGAAAGGAGCAAACAACTAAGATGAATTGTCTTAGAATATTTCTGCCATTTAAATACTGTTATGTAAACAAAATACATTGCTTCAATTTGTATTACATTCTGTTGCGTTTGAACGTTTTAAAAAAGTTTATTTCCCCGCCCCACAAAGTTGGTGGGTTCATAAACATCCCATAGTTTCCTAAATTTAGAGCACGTTGATTTGGAAAATAGCATTGGATTTACCAGAGGTACTTGAAAATGTTATCTTTGGCCTATGTGAAGAAACGGAGGAAAGAATTATCTGCCTCATGTAAGCACGACTTACTTGTACTACTTAAGAAACTTGTTTTAGTTGTGCCTTTTAACCAATTTTTCTCTCAGTTCAGGGAATTGTGGACCAATTTATGTTTTGGATGATTGATTCTAGACATTGTCTACCCACAGTGCTTTTACAGGAGAATGTAGCATCCTAATCAATTCAGTTATTAAATACGTAATCATGATGTTATATGAAATCATAATTGAATACTAGCATATTTGTAATTCATGTGTGCACTCAGTATGCGGTTTTAAAATATTCAATTCTAAAAATGTGCTTCTTGGAAAACAACATAGACAGTCCTATACTAGAACATTAATTTTCAAATCTTTCTCCATTGGCAAGACTATTTGAACACACATTTTTGCCTTTTCTAAGTAATTTCTTGAAAATTCTGCATTGTCAACATGTTACAGGATTGGAGGGCCCTACGCATATAGTCTTACGGCAGTTCTTGAAAAGCATGTCCTGAATATGACTGGATAAATTTTATCTTATACATTATTGTTTTTGCACATACTAGCATTATTGCAGCAGGAAGGCCACATTTTCCAATGAAGATAATATTTTTTACTTTAACATGGTTTTAAATATTCGGGAAAGGGTGTAAAAACTTTAGTCAGTGGAGCTCATTAGCATCAATTAAACTTAATTATGTAACTCAGGGAAGAGAGAAGTTAGTAATTTAAATTTGTCTTCTTTGTTCAGGAGGAACAGGCAAGGATATGGGGAACAATGATAGACAAATGCTTATCTCTCCTGTTTATAAGCTAAAGAATGTCAAAGTGTAAATCAGCTATTTTTGCTTATGTTGATGACTAAATTACTGCCCTTTGAATCAAATGACACTTCCAGCTGCTGCTGCTTCGATTCTTAGTGCAGTGTTGGTGTTCACTTATTGTGTTCAGTATCAACTAGAATTGAAACTTGGGAAATTACCTTATTCATTAATCATTTAAGGTAAAAATGATTTTACTATGTTGGGAATGCATACGCTCATTCCATTGCTGAGATCAACATTTTTTTCCAGACAAATGAAAAACTCCCATATTTTTCCTTTATTGTTGCTTTTTGAATGATATTTTCAAATACCAAGCTACGTACTAAATGTGTGTGTACTAAGTACACTTTCTCATGAAAATAATTCTTGTTAAAAGGGCTGTTTGTTATTATAGGAAATCTTATGTGTCCTTGGAAAGGGTGCTTATGTGATCAAATGAAAGTTTGGGCTTTGGTGTGGAAACATCACATAAGAAAAATCATCCAGACTTTGATGTGGCAGTGAAATCTGCTGTTGAAATGTGGTACATTTGCCCTTATCTTTCTTATAGTCTGTGATGAGATACAACTTTAGAATCAGTTTGTAACAGATAAGGCAGACTTTGTGGAATGTCTTATAGTTAAATAGGATATTGTGATTTTAAATTATACACTGATTTCCTCACCAATTTTAAAGAAGTTGATGTTGTGCTTCAAACTTACCTGCACAACCTGATCTCTCTTTTCCCATAAACAGGCTGTATTCTGCTGATGGTACATTCATTGTTAGGTCATGTTTTTACAAGTAGTACTGGCAAGCTGACATTACAGTTGCCTTTCAATATTACCCAACATTTTTAAAACAATTTTCTTCCCAATTTTTGTAATCAATATTTCTATTTTTTAATTATTTCTTAAAACTTTTAAAATATAGCAATTTGGTTTGAAAGATGGACATTTTGAAACATGGGTTTGAAACATGGATATTAGTTCTCCATTTTGGTATAACAAATTATCCCAAAACACAGTGGCTTAAAACAAGCATGTATTAGCTCACAATTTCTGAGGCTCAGAAGTCCTTGAGTAGCTTAGTTCAGTATTTCTGAGTCAGGGTCTCTCGTGAAGTTGAAATCAAGCTTTCAGCTAGGGCTGCTGCATCTGAAGTCCTGACTGGGGCTAGAGGGTCTATTTCGAAGAAGGCTCACTTACATGGCTGTTGGCTGGAAGTCTCAAATTCTTGACATGTGGTCCTCTCGAAAGGGCTGCCTGAGTATTCTCAAGACATGTCAGTGAGTTTCCTCTAGAATAAGTGATGAGAGAGAGTAAGAGTGAGAAAGAGTGAGAGAGTGTTTGTGGGCACCTAAGCTGGAAGCCACAGTCTTTTATAACCCAGTCTGAGAAGTGATAGTCCATCTCTTTTGCCCTGATATTGTGGGAGGGTACTACACAGAGTGTGAATACCAGGAAGTGGGAATCCTTGGGGGCCATCTTGGAGGCTGACTTCCACACTTATTTAAGGTGTATTGGGGAGGTACAATGAGAGAGAGATACGAAGAAAAGGAACTTCTTAGGAAATATTTTTGTTATATGTGTACTTAAGATATTTAAAAAATGAGATTCTTTTTACATATAGCGAATAAGAGATATACTGAGGTGAAAAGAACAGTTTTTCTATCAATGTTAGATTTTAGTTAGCTTGCAAATTTTGTTTCTCTGTATAAGAGGTAATTGTGTACTTTTAAAATTTGTTTTTACCATTTATCTGCATCTGTATATGTTAACAATATAATTCTAAACTTTAATCTTGTAGCCCCTCCACTTTTTGTGATTGTCTTATTTAAAGTAGGATGAAGAGCTTTGAGTACTTGCCGTATAGCATAAGGGGCCTTTGACAAAATGAAAACAGAGTTGATATTAAGTTGGATATCTAGACTACTTAAAAATAAATCAAGATTTGTTATGGAGTCCCTGTCCACTAGGAATCTTGGACCTTTAACAAGATTATGCTAAACTTTAATCTTGTAGCCCCTCCACTTTTTGTGATTGTCTTATTTAAAGTAGGATGAAGAGCTTTGAGTACTTGCCGTATAGCATAAGGGGCCTTTGACAAAATGAAAACAGAGTTGATATTAAGTTGGATATCTAAACTACTTAAAAATAAATCAAGATTTGTTATGGAGTCCCTGTCCACTAGGAATCTTGGACCTTTAACAAGATTATGCCCATTTTTCTCAACCCTTTGCTTAGGATTATGTGAGAAAGTAGGAATTATTTTAAGCTATTAGCCTCCAGAATGGATTAGGAATAATGTTGGCTTTACTCAAAAAGAAGTAAAAAAAAGAGCAAGAAAAACATTTCATGCTCCAAATTAAGATACGTGAATAAAGGTATTTTAGTGCCTTGACTGAAATTTTAGTGCCTTGAGTGAAATAGTAAAAGAAAAATAAGGGGGGTACAGCCCCATCTAGGCCCAACAAGAGGGGAAGAACAAGGATGAAGGTATGAAGTATGAATGAATTGAGGCAAGAGGAGTGAGAATCTCTAATAAGCCAAGAGTTTCTGTATCTTGGCCTAGAAAAGTTAAATGAAACTCTGCTATAATCAGTTACTTTACCAATATGGAAGTAACCTAATTATAGCAGTATATTCTAGCAGGTTTAATTCTGAATTCTTAGAGTAGTATACTGGGTGTATGTTGGAGTGGCCTTATTATTAGGGATTACTGCCAGTAGAAGACAGATAATCAAATAGAGTGTTTTTTCTTTCCATTATAAAACAGATACATGCTATTTAACAATCTTTAATCATCACTTACATATAACTTGATGTCCAGAGTTATGTGTGACTTTAAATAAGCACTCTAGTATATCTAATGATTTTGTGGATCAGGAATATAGGCAGGACTCAGCCGGATGCTTTTTCATGTGTTATTTACAGAGCTGATTCCATAAACTTAAGCTGGTTGGGCTGGTCAGAAGGTCCAAGATGGGTTTACTTACATGTCTGACACTTTGGTGGAGATGGCTGGAAGGCTGGGCTCAGTTGGAACTGTTGAC